TCCCCCTGACAAATCTGTGACGGTACGCCACGCGCGACCCCGCGTCGTCTTTCATCCCTTCACCATCCCAGCGGGTTGAAAACCGAACGCGCCCGTGCGAGCCGAAGCCGATACTCGCCGGTCCACGCCACTATGATATTTGCAATAAACCGTCAAATTCCCCATCCATCGGCGGCCATAATTTTCGCAAGTGCCTCCCGCTGAGTTGTCAGCGGGTTTTATCGACGTGGAACAGGAAAACGCGAGAGAGATTCCGAGAGTCGTTCTCGTCGCTCTGTCTCTCGGACTCATGGTGAGGCCCGTGCAGGTGCGAGAGAGACAGAGCGAAATGAGTCCGCAGTGCAGGACGGAGGCACTCTGCCATTCCGCATAGGCCGTCAATTCGCCTCCATTTAAACTTGTCCGGCGTGGCGTTGATGCCCGCGGGACGGCCGACGGAAGTTGGTGCAGCGCCCATCAGGCCATCAGGGCAGCCAGCAGACTGATGCCGAGAGTCGTTGTCGTCGCTCTGTCTCTCTCGCACTTATGCGGGGCGCACGATGGGGGCGAGAGAGACAGAGCGACGGAAACGACTCTCGGAACCGGTCTGAAGCCAGCGCTGCGCAGGTGCGCGCTTAACAGCCGTAACAGGCCAGTTGCCATCCCTGACCCGGAGCCCCGTTGGGAAAAGCGTCAATCAGGAGGAAGGTGCCAAGTTCGGACCGGGGACGGTTCGCGGTGAGACGGCAAGCCTCTGCCGGCGGAAGGCTACTCTGGAAAACGTTCTGTGCTCTTGAACTTTCCCGGAAAGACACGCACGCTTGAAACCTTACAAAGTATTTTGAGCATACAAAGTACTAACTAATTAGATATTTTATACGAAGAAAAGTTCGTAAATTACGAGGTATTTTCTTTGTAAGCTGATGTTTGCTCAAAATACTTTCTTATACAAACCGCTTTTTTTTAAAGGCCTAAAATAGTTTGTTTGGTTTTCTCAGTGCGACAAAGGTGGTTCCTGGTTTCCGCAGGGAATTCCTGAGAAAACCCGAGAGTTCTTGGAAAAATCAGGCAGTTCCTAACCAGTGAGTTCTCAAGGAAACTGGAAAGTTAAAAAAAAACCATCAAGTTTCTGGGGAAACCAGGGAGTTTGTGGGAAAGCCAGGGACCTCTTCTGCCGTGCGAAATCGAATCGGAAATCGAATCAACTCGAATCCAAAATGAAGCCAATAAACTATCGTTTGAACGAGGTCAGTGGCAGCGCCTTGTGTTCGATTTCAGCCTGACTCAAGAGTTATGCTGTTTGAATCACTGAACTGGAAGGTCAGACTATCGTCCATGCCTCGCTCAACCCCCCCCCCTTCCCAAAAAAAATTACTTTTTGGATCAAGAAAAAAAATAAACTTTCTTATTTTCAAGAAAATTTTTCTTTATCCAAACTATTTTTCTTGTAAGCAAAAAAATTTTCTTCTCTTCAGATTTCTTTTTATTGTAAAAAACCAAGAAAATTAAAAATTAAGAAACCATTTTTCTGGGTGCAATGCCGAAATAGGAACGGCGTCACTTCTAAGCGAAGCTGAAATTACCTTGAAAGGTGGATTCTCTGCGGGCGTTTCTCGCCCCCAACTAAAGGCGCTGACCTTCGAAACAAAAGGGAAGTTAACAGTCCTGTGTCGATCGCGGAGCAAACATCCACAGGTCCCATGTCTTTTTTCCGCGGCCAGTGGAAATACAGTTTCTCTGCTCCGGCGTGGCGCCGCGCTGCGACACGTTCAGGGATTCATGGCGCCTCACGGGAGGCCCTGCAGGCTGATTCCGGGAGTCGCTTTCGTCGCTCTGTCTCTCTCGCACCTGTGGGAGGCGCCCCACGAGTGTGAGAGAGACGCACAGCGACGACACGTCCCCTTCGGAATCGGCCTGCTGGCCGTGCCCATGGCCCTCCCTTTTACGATGCCACATTAACGGGCCGCAGTATACCCGCGCTGGATCACACAGTCAAAAATATCCGTCCATCAATTTCGTGGAAGGGGCTGCCACCAGTGGCGCGCTGTTACCCTCTCTCTCTCTCTCTCTCTCTCTCTCTCTCTCTCTCTCTCTCTCTCTCTCTCTCTCTCTCTCTCTCTCTCTCTCTCTCTCTCTCTCTCCTCCCCCCCCCCTCCACCCTTGTAACTTATGGACTAGCCCACCACTTCCAGCAGCGTCGGTCATGTAACGCCTTGTCGTAGGAGGGCCGAGCCTACCCTAAAAACAATAATGTTAATTTATTCCGCAATAATAACTTTCCGGTGCGAGTTTTCAGTTTCTCCATCTTTTTTTTGTCGGCGCGCTGGGGAGCAGGCGGCCGGGCGGGTGTTTGAGTAAACTTGTAATGGCCGTGCCGCCGAAGCTTCGCTGGCACTTTAACTAGAGAGGTCAAGTTTTAAAACGGCCGCGGTAATTCCGTGATCGGGAAGAAGGATGGCGGCATGGCGGCGCGAAGGGCCGCTTTCGAGGTCGTCGCGCTGTCCCTGTCGCACTCCGGCGGTACACTGCGAGTGCGACGGAGACGGGCGACGCCGCGCGACCGCCAGCCCGCCGCGGTGGTGATGGAGCGCCTTACTCACGCGTCATTAGCCGGCCGGGCTGAAGGCTTCCTCTGTCCCAGCGCGGCGCGGCGTGGCACCGCTCTGCCCGGCATGGCCACCCCACCACAGGATTCGATTTTCTTTTAAATTCGCTGGGCCAGCTGGAATCACTAAGCGCGCTTCCCACTTTCAATTTTCATTAAAGCAGCGACGGCCGCGGCACGTCCGGGATCAACCCCCGGCGTGTTACCATAATCCGGTGTGTGTGTGGCAGAAAGCAATGTCGTGGTTTGAGTGGCAATGGGCGGCCCGGGGTGCAAGAAGAGGGAGCGAAAGAGGTCGAGAGGCCCTGGGGCCAGCCAGCCCTGGGGCCGGCCTACGGGGCTGACTTCCCTCGTGGCCGGGCGGAATGGTCTGCAAACGACTGGGGGCATTAGCAAAGGCCAGGCCGCCGTACGAGGGGTGCCCTGCCGCGCCCCGCCCCGCCCCGCCCACGCCACGCCCCGCCACGCCCCGCCCCGCCACGCCCCCCGCCACGCCCCGCCGCGCCCCGCCACGCCCCGCCACGCTCCGCCACGCCCCGCCGCGCTGGACCCATCCTATCGCCCTGCTCCCCATGCGCATCTCAAGAGCCCATACGTCAGGCGACGTGTGCGTGGACGCGGGGCCTTCCCCCACCCCTTTCCTCCGAAGGCGCCTCCACCACAGCTGCTCCCGCGGAGCCGGTACCGAGAGCGCGCCCTGCTTTTGAACGGCGCGGAGAGGCGTGGGTTCTATTCCCGTTTTTTATGCCGCATTTTTTCTGACTTGTTCCTGCTCCGGGATGGCGCGCTCTGGCGTGCTCTGGCGGGGCGGCGGGGCTCGGCCGAGGCGAGGAAAAGTTTCCTCGCGAGGTGGAATAAGTGATGCCCTGGGGTGCAGGTCGTTACAGGCCTTCTGGACGTAGGCCGGACGCAGCCCTCGACCATGCCTTCGGCCAGAGCTCCCTCGGGCATCCCCGGCCGTCTGGAAGTCCGCTGGAGCAGCCTCAGCCCTGTTAGAGGGACGCTGGAGACCGGCCGGCCCCGCGCCCTGCCGCTGCAACTCCTTCACTGGAGTCTTGGTATAAGTTGGATCGCCGGGTCACAGGCTGAGGCCGCGACCTATTTCGCTGGCGAAGCCCGGCAGTGCCGCGCAGTCTTCCTGGAGGCTTACTGGAGCCGGCGTGGCTGGAGTCGGTGCGAGTTGAGGCGACGGCACGGCAGGCAAAACGAAGCCTGGCTGGACCGCGCTCCGCGCCGCCCTCCAGACAGATTCCGAGAGTCGTTCTCACCGCTTTGCGTCTCTCGCACCCTTAAGGGTCGCTCTGTAAGTGTGAGGGAGACAGAGCGACGAAAACGACTCTGAGTCGGCTGGCTAAGGCACGCGCGCTGCTGCGTCGGGGCTTCACGAGGACTGGAGGCTGCGTGGAGCTCAGCCATTCTGGACCCGCTTCCGCCAGCCGCCTGGAAGGCCTGGGAGGCTCGCCCCAAAGCCTCACTTAGCCTTGCAGCCGAGCCGTTTCTGACCTATCCGCAGGAACATTTCGCCTCAATGAGCAAATAAAAGTGCGGCTCGCCCGGCGCCCCCTTACCCCACCCCCTGCCCCTCCGCCCTCCGCTCTCCACCATGAAGGGCGCCAACTACTCCGCCGCTGTAGTGGCCGCGCTGCGTTGCGCGCGCCTCGCTATTCACTCGTTTCAAAGGTTTCAGTAATATTGGTTTTCCTTTGACTGCAGCAACCTTTCCTGCTGCTGGAGAACAAGCTCATCAACGCGTTGCTCTCTCTCTCTCTCTCTCCTCTCTCTCTCTCTCTCTCTCTCTCTCTCTCTCTCTATCTCTCTCCTTTCTCCCGCAGCAAACTTTCCTGCTGGAGATCAAATCAATGCGTGCCTGTCTGTGCTGCAGCAGACTTTTCTGCTGGAGAACATGGGTCAACGCATTGCTTGCTCTCTCTCTCTGTCTCTCTCTCTCTCTCTCTCTCTCTGTCTCTCCCTCTCCCTCTCCCTCTCTCTCTCTCCCTCTCTCTCTCTCTTTCTCTCTTCTCTCTCTCTCTCTCTCTCTCTCTCTCTTCTCTCCTCTCTCTCTCTGTCTCTCTGTCTCTCTCTCTCTTCTCTCTCTCTCTCTCTCTCTCTCTCTCTCTCTCTCTCTCTCTCTCTTGCGGTTGCAGCAACCTTTCTTGCTGGATAACAAGCTCATCAAAGCGTTGCTCTTGCTCTCCCTTGCTCTGTTCCACCAACATTCCCTGCCGGAGTACACAAGCTCCCTCTCTGTTGCACCTCCATTTCCTCCTGGCGAACAAGGTCACTAACACGTCGCTCTCTCTCTCTCTCTCTCTGTCTCTCTCTCTCTCTTCCCCGCGGTTGCAGCAATCTTTCTTGCTGGATAACAAGGCGAACAAGGTCACTAACCCGTCGCTCTCTCTCTCTCTTTCTGTTGCAGCACTGCCCACGCCGCCCCGGAACTGCACGCTGCTCAACCAGACGGCCAGCTCGGCCGAGGTGTGGTGCCTGGCGGGCGCGGACGGCGGCCTGCCGCAGCACTTCGTCCTGGAGCTGTACACGGCGTCGTCGTCCGGCCCCGTGGCGCGCTACAACGCCACCGAGAGGCCCGTCTTCCTGCTGTCCAACCTGGAGCCCGACGTGACGTTCAAGGTCGTGGTGGTGGCCGCCAACGACAAGGGGCGCTCCAGCCCCGTGGCCGTCTCCGACCTCACGTTCGGCGACCCCGAGAAGCGAGTCGGTGAGTGAAGTGAGGAGGCCCTTCGGGTCGGGCCTTTGGGTCGGGACGGGTCGGGAGGGGAGAGGCGAGGCTGTTCGGTCAGGCAGATTAAAAACGATATTGGATTTGGAAGTAAATTGAAACGGCCTCTTCTGGCAAGTGCGGTGCCAATTTAAGCTGGTTTTTTTTTTCCCTCGATGCTCTCAATCTCCACGGACGTATAATATTTGCATGCGGATAGATGACGTGGTCGTCTCCCCAGCAGGAAAACTGCGAGGAAAAAAATGTGTTTTAGGATCGGGGTTTTTTTTTCTCTTGTCGTTTCCTTTTTATAAACTGAGGCATGCTTAAGATCCGGCCGCCGTCTCAGGTTTATGGCGAGTCTTTGATCTCGAAGGTCATTGATAGGTACCTCCCAGCTGCCAGACGGGCGCGGAGGGGACGGGGTGGGGAGAGAGTTGCTGGACGCGCGACAGAATTGGGCTTAGGCCGAGTATTGCGTTCAGAATTGCAAATTAGTCTGGATCAAGTAAACTTGCCTTGTAACGCCGGCGTGGCGCGGGGAGGGGTGGCGTGCTGACGGTGGCGTGCCGTCTCGGCTGCAGTGGCCGAAATGGACGGATCGGTCCAGTGGAGTGGCTGCGAGGTGGTGTTGATTCCCATTCGGTTCTGACAGTCTCATAAACTCTACAAACTGAAGTGTGTACTCAGTATGCACCTACAGATGCATACTCGAAAGTACACTCCTAGAGATGCATACTTAGCTGAGTACACATCTACAGATGCATACTTGGCTGAGTACACATCTACAGATGCATACTTTGCTGAGTACACATCTACAGATGCATACTTGGCTGAGTACACATCTACAGATGCATACTTTGCTGAGTACACACCTACAGATGCATACCTAACCTCTCCAAGTATGCATCTGTAGATGTGTACTCAGCTAAGTATGCATCTGTAGATGTGTAGTGTACTTGCAAGTATGCACCTGTAGATGCATACTGAGTACACACTTCAGTTTGTAGAGAATATGTGGCGACCGCTCACTTGTTTTCCTGGGCGTTTTCGGTCTTCTGGCTGGCTGATGTACTCGTACGATTTTGTTTCGAGCGTCACACAGTTTCGTACTTTTAAATGTGATCGTCTAAGGTTGAGCGCACACGCGTGACTTCAAAAATGTTCAGCAAATTTGTCGGAATTTGTATGAACAGCACGCACGCTCCAGTGTGGGGCCACGAATGAAATATGTAACCAAACATTTTGAAGAGTGCACGACACTGGGTTTGAACCGATGTCAACTCTGCTTTCCGAGGAAAAACTGAAAGCCGTGTGCATGTGCATTACGTAAGCCGTTCCCACCAACTTAAACCTACCTAAACCAACTTAAACGCCACAAAAACGTCAGGAGACCCGGTTCGGTAAACTGGGCCATCCTGACTGTGGATGTGGACCAAGGTCAGCTGTACCGTGCGCGTTGCAGCAGCGGGCAGGGTAGCCGGCGAGCAGGCCACCGGTGGATGGTGTTCCGGTAAGGGTGCTGCGGGGGGAGGGGAGCGGAGGTTGTAGTGGCAGACTGCTCGAGGAACCTGCCTGCAGGATTCAGCATGCTGAATAAGTGATCAGACCGTCGCTCTCCTCCGAACGACAATCAGGGGCGCCTCACCGGTAGGCAAGGTGCTCGAGCCGAGTCGGAGCCGAGCCGAGCCGGAGCCGAGTCGGAGCCGAGCCGAGCTGAGTCGGAGCCGAGCCGAGTCGGAGCCGAGTCGGAGCCAAGCCGAGCCGAGTCGGAGTCGGAGCCGAGCCGGAGCCGAGTCCGAACCGAGCCGAGTCGGGAGCCGGGGCGCGCCGCCGCAACCGGATGTCAGCCACGGAATCACGCAGCTCACGCCTCTGGGAGGCGGCGAGCCTGAGGGGCGCCGGGCGCGGCGTGGCGTGGCGCGGCGGGGCGTGGTGGGGTGCGGCGTGGCGTGTCGTGGCGTGCCGTGGCCAGGCGAGCTCCAGCGACGGGAAAGGAAGGAAAATAAAGGCGGGAGGGAAAATCCGCTTGGAGCTCCCTTTCCTCCCCGCGGCGCACCTTCGGTCCCAGCGCGAATCGACTCGGCCTGTCTGTGTTTCAGCACGCGCTGTGGAAAGCACTGAACGTGGTACCCACACCACCGGCGCGCGCACACATACACACACACGCACACACACGCACACACACACACACACACACACACACGTCGGCAGTGGCGTCCCGCGAATAGGCCTCCGAATTCATATGCGCTGTCAGAAAGGCGTCTTCCTCACCTTTAAAAGAAGACAGTGAAACGACATGTCGCTCGCTTACAGTGCTGGGTCACTCGTCAAAATCAACGAATGTGCACTGTGAAAACCTTTCAAACTATTTTTGGCCTCACATAGAAAAGTAACTTGTTATAACAGAGTATTTAAGCATACATAAGCTTACAAAGTAAATACTTCGTAATATACGAACTATTTCTCCGCATAACAAAGTAAATTAGTTTGTACTGTGTACGCTCAAAATACGTCGTAAGGATTTAAGCGTGACATCTTATTTAAACGAATATGGCGTACATTCATTGATAAACAGTGTACCGCTTTGTTGCACTGCGCGGCCATGGCGCCTGCGAGGTAGGCAACGGCAGGCGCTACAGGACACGCGTGTCGCGCGGATGGCCTATCCTGCGATTCACAGGCGCGCACCTCCATCACAGTTTGGTCTACAGTGTACGCCCTTGCTCCACACTGGTGGAAGTGAACCGTACTTTTACGCCTAGCGGGATTATTGCTACGCTCGGCTTCAAGCGTTCCGCCCACCTATCTGAATGCATGGGAGGATCTCTTTCTCTGACTTGAAGCTTCAGTCTCCAAGCATCGCTTAAGACTTGCATTAAGCGTACAATTACTCCTCTCACCCTTAATTTCAAGTATTTGTGCAAAATTTTGTGCGTGGCGATGCATAATTTTGAACTTGTGTGATGTTTCGTTTAAAATTGTGCTCGAGTTTGCATCAATTTATGCATTTTTACGCATAATGTGCTAAATCCACGTAAGCACGAAATCGTGCACGTTGCACTTACAAAATTCTACGTGGACATTTAGAGTGGCAGTCTCACCGGTGAGAAGCAAGTTACCTTCGGAAAATTTCATCTGTCCAGAACCGAATCCAGTGCACTTGTGCGAACTCCATCCCAAGTCCACACCCTTAAAACCTTACGAAGTATTTTGAGCATATATAGTACAAACAAATTTACTTTGTTATACAACGAAATAGTTCGCAAATTACGAAGTATTTTCTTTGTAAGCTTATGTATGCTCAAAATACTTTGTTATAACAAGCAGCTATTCTTTGTAAGACCTGGAATAGTTTGTAAGGTTTTCTCAGTGCGGGACGAGTGCGATATCGAAACTCGGCCTCGGCGTGACCGGTTAGGTTGTTGCCACTGTGAGATTGTGAGGTGAAAACTCATCAGCAGGTGCTTCGGCTTCAAACGCTTGCGTTAATGACACACGTCTGGACCAGGCCGGCCTTGGCCCTCGGCGCCACTAGGCCCAATTTGAGTCAATTGAATGCGCCGCCTTGTTGTTGCTTTGATCCGGGGCCGAAATTGGCCGCCCCTTTGGCCGACAAGAGAGTAAGCCTTTGACCGTGGGCTCTGTTATCGGCCGGCCCACATAATGGCCCTTTTCCTCTTTTTATTTAAATCTCTCTCTCTCTCTCTCTCTCTCTCTCTCTCTCTCTCTCTCTCTCTCGCTCTCTCTCTCTCTCTCTCTCTCTCTCCTTTTCTCCGGGTGCGTCCTTTGACGCAGGGCCCCGCGGAGAGCCGCGTGAGTAAACCAGGTCCCTTGATAACCACGAGGCAACCGCCACTGGCAAATGCGGAGTCGTCAAAGCTCGGCAACGCCGCATTAAACTGTCCCGCTATGGTGGTAAAGTAATTATATACTCTTAACAGGAAAAGACGCTCTGTTTGGAGTGATTACAGCATTCGATTCGCCTTATATGCAGAAAATGCTGATTACATGCTCATATTTGGACCTGGTTTTGCCAATGAGTGAAATTCAAAGTGAAAGTGAAATTTAAAGCGTTATTCAACATTTAAATTTTGATGAGTAAAAAATGTTTTGTTAAATTTTAATTACTTTTCTGCATTGTCCTTTTTGCATTTTTTTTTTCAAAATTAAGACTTGATTGGCTGTTAAATAAATTATGATCAGTCGACACAGTCTGCTGAAAATTTGGCATGTATTGGTTAAAGGCTTCAAACGACTCCTTTCCCCCGCCCCTCAATTCAAAAAAGGCGTTACCCTTTCCATTATTCGCAATCAACGTGTCCGAGTCAGGCGTTTCATAACTCAGTCCTTGAACCCGCCGCCCCGTACCTCTAGTGGCCCTCCATCTCCCCTACAATGCAGCGGACTGTTTCCGAGAATCGTCTTCTGTCTCTCTCGCACCCACAAGAACGCCCCATGAGTGCGAGAGAGACAGAGCGACGAAACCGTCTCTCGGAATCAGTCTGCCGGCGCTCATTCACCGCGGCCGAACCGTTTCCCGCCGAGTTTAGTTCGCAGTTTGCCGCGCTCGCCAAAGTGCTTTCCAAACTGGTTTCAGTGTTAACTTTCCGCGGCCCACACATACTTGCGTGTAAAGTTAGATCAATTCTGCCGAACGAATTCAGACAAAAACGGTGTGAGAACTCTCATTTTCGGTTTGCTGTGAGTCGCCGGGTCTGACACGGGGGCGCGGGTTCATCCGGTCTGGGGCCGTAAACAGGCTGATGAAGGGATCATTTGCGCGAATCATTGCTCACTGATTCGCTAGAAAATGGAGCGAATGGAGCCACTCTGTCGGTTGGACCGATTCCCAGGCCGTTGTTCTCTCTCCCGATTCCAAACCGGGCCACGCCGCTCCGTCTCTCTCGCGCTGCCCGGCGGGGCGCCCCGTGAGTGCGAGAGAGGCAGAGCGACGAAAGCCCTGTTTGGAATGGGCCCGTAAGGCGGCCGAGCCGGCT